TATATATATATATATATATATATATATATATAATTCGGTTTTTTTCGGTTTTTATTTTTTAAAATCTGAAACCAAACAAAAAAATCAAACAAAGTAATTTATTAATCCAAAACCAATCCGAAAAACCAAAAAGCCAATCCAAATAAAAATTCGATTTAATTTGATTTGATTATTCGGTTTAATCCGAATAGTGCACAACCCTACTAACTGAATATTCAATATAGTATAGAACAAATAAATAACCTCAACTTGAGTCTCACTATCACCATTATTTTGGCCTATAAACAAATTCAGGCCCGCACATAGTGATAAAGATTTGTACACTCATGCAATATTCGGATAGGTTGAAGTATCACCATCACCCGTTATCTTGGTTTTTCATGAGGGGAGTGTTAAAAATATATATTATTAAAAATTTAAGAATATTTTTTTTTTAACCTCTTAAATTTTAAATGATTTTTAAATGAGATCACGTTACGCTTCAATAACACCTTCCATGAAAAAAAAGAAAGAGAGAAAACATAAACCTTTAATAAAACATATCAGAGAAAATTAATTATATTTTCTACTATATATAAGTGGCTAGGGGAGCTGGAGTTGGACGACATGCCTGCTTCCCTAGCAAAGGGTAATATAGGTATATTTTCATTATACTGCTTAAGCACTATTGTATATGACTGCTTTACTATTGTACATTTTCATTATTTGACCTAAAAGTCTTGTCTATATTTTATTTTTTCTTTTGTCTCAGCCGCAAAGTTTGTTGATTTCCATGCACGTGTGTAGTTGAGAATTGCGTAATAGGTTGAGGGGGTATTTGGCTGTTTTCTCAAAAAAACAAAGAAAAATAATAATTAACCCTCCAAGTTCCATCTGTATCACATAAATTGAAACAAATAAATAACATATATTGAGTCCCGCTGGCACGAATGCCTAATATCTAGTATATAGTAGAAGAGGCTACGAACAAGGGCCTCATGGTTGTCATGTCTGTTTCATCATATGATATTTTCTGAGTAAATTTTAGGTTTAGCAAACATAAAAATCATATTTGTATGTTATAGCTATAGTTTGTATAATTGCGCTCCATAGCAAACTTTATGTTTGTTGTGACTATTAATAAGTATATTTTAGTATACGTATACAAAATAATCAATTGTAAATTTATACATTTGTGTTTGTATAAAATGAGAGAGGCAAGCGAGATCTGGAATAGTGGCGAGCGAGGTTCTCTGGGGAGAGAGGCGAACAAAAAGATATGTATATATATAGTTTTCTCTCACTTTATACAAACACAAACATAATTTATACATTTGTGTTTGTATAAAGTGAGAGAGGCAAGAGAGAGACTGCCAAGCGAGATCAGGAGAGTGGTGAACGAGATTTGCTAGGGAGAGAGACGAATGACAACTGTTTGCTACGAGTTACAATTAAATGAAACTATGATTATAACATTTAATTTAAATTAATAGTTTACTATTTTATATAATTTTCCCATATAATCTTTCCGCTTGCTTTTGTGTTGTTCACTGTTGTGCAACTACATGTATCCTACTTTATAATTATTACTACAACTTGGTAGTTCGTGATAATTTGGTTTTCATGTTTTAATTTATTTTTCTTTTTTAGCTTGTGATATATTTGAAAGTTACATAAATAATACCATAAATCATAATATTTAACAATTTAAATATTTCTAAGTTATATAAAAAAAATTCAATTGACTCCTGAAATTCTATTAGAGCCACATAAACTAAGTTAGCTGATAAACATATATTATTTGAAAATGACGTACATAGAAAGTACTATAAATCACATTAATTAATAACGTAAAGAAATTAAAATACATATAGAAAAATCAATTAACTCTAAAAATTCTATCAATGTCACATAAATTGTGACATGGGTAGTAACATATATTATTTTAAAATTACGCTAAAAAGTATTATAAATTACAATAATTAACATCTTATAATATTTAACAGACATATAAAAAATGATTAATTTTTAAAATTCTATGTATGTCACATAAATTAGGACAAAGAAATAATATATATTATTTAAAAATTATATAAAAAAATATCATAAATCACAATAATTAATAACTTGAAATATTTTTAATATCATATAAAAATTTGGATAACTTCTCAGGTATCTTCGAAAATACATAAATTGAGATAGAAAAATAACATATATTGGATCCCGTGCTGGCACGAGCTCATGTATCTAGTTACTATATAGTCAACATACAATATTACTGATATTTATCATGTGGTAAACAAAATATCTACTCAGATTTTACCTCTATAAATAGAGAAGATGATTTTAGTTCCAATCCCACAACTTCCTTTTTTTGGCAATAGACAAATATGCTTTTCTTCAAAAATATTTTTCCTTACTAGGCAACCTACTCATAATTTATTTTCTCAAAATCATGGTTCTTCCATGTTTGAATATACTAAAAATATTTCATCATTTGAAAACCATAAAAGAGCTAGAAAAAAACTCGTTAACATGAAATCAGAAAATATAGGACGCGTCAAACAATATTCTCAACTCAAAGCCATGCAGTTTCAACATGGTAACGGTATAGGAATTGATGAGTTTTTTTAAGGAAAAAATATACTTGTCACGGGTGCTACAGGGTTTCTAGCAAAAGGTATTATATGCACTTACAATGTAAATATTTTTTTTTTATAAGATTCGTGAATTTTAACCAATATTACACATCCTCTTTCTTATTTTATGTGAAAATTCATGGTCTAAAACATACTTTAGATATTATATGACCATCACAAAGAAACTACTCCTTTTTACCCTTTGAGAATAGAGATGAGGTAAATGCATATCCTAGAGGTCTAAGCTTTATTATTATATACAGAAGTAGTAGGTTAGCTAGTTCACCTAGTCATTTCATTAAAAATAATAAAATGATAAGTTTAAAATTAAATTATTTTAAATATAGAAATGTATTATCTTTTTTTAAAACATACTAAAAACAATATGTCCATATCACATAAATGAGAGAATTCACATGTAATTATCTAATAAGTGATCTGATTGTAGAAATATTTATGACGATGCCAATAAATAAAACTTGAATCTAATCTCTTTAATTATATATACTATTAGCAAAGTTAATAGGCAAATTCAACTCTTTCTCTAGACATTTTCCAGTAGAATAATTACTAATATTTTTGCAGCTCTGATTGAAAAGATGCTGAGAACAACACCAAAGGTAAACAAGATATACACTACAACAAATATGATATATAGCTATGAAATTATTAGCTACGACATCAAATTCGTCATTAATTGTTCGCTTTTAGTGACAAAATTTACTTTTGCGTGCTTAAACATATGAGACACATACTTTTAGTGACGAAACAAAAAACCGTAGCAAAGTTTCGTCTACTAAAGTTTCCCATCAAAAATTAATTGGCGTCATTGTTAAGTAGTGTTAGTCACTAATTTAAAGTTATCGGTGACACATTATTTCGTCACTAATAATGTATCTAATTCTTGACAAATTATTTTTTGTCTTAAAATTTATTGATTTTTTTACCCAAAAAAATTTCATCTAAAAAAATATGTTGTTACAATATCGACAAATTAGAATTCGTAGTTAAATATTATAAGTTTTAGCTATAAAAATTTAGATTTAATTGTGACATTTATTTTCGTCACTAATAATATA